GGGGCGGCTGGGAGGGGAGGAAGGAGTGAGTCTGCAGGTCTCTGCAAGAAACCTTGTGGTTTTATGGTCATAGATCACTGATACAATCTGGCATCCAGTGTAGAAAAAAAAATGTATTGAAAAGAACTGCTGAGATTGAAAAAGATTCCCAAACTGGGGCTTATTTGTAGCATAGATCTTGAAGATTTGGCCAAAATATTTTCACTCAGGCATTTGCCAAAACATGACAAGACAAAAGAAGATCTGTTTCCTGTCTAAGAACTGGGCCCGCACAACAGCAGCATCTCTGTGTGTTGGGGCCTCCATGGACAAGCCTGTGCTCATCCCCTTGTCTCTTTAATAGGGTCTCCAATGGTCTATTGAATGGGTGTCCCTTGGTCACCCCAAACTGCCCTAGTTCTTTTCAATACGGGGAAATCCTTCGATGGTGTCACCACCACCGATTCACTAGAATCTCCCAAAACTTCCTGTCAGTCACCATCCTCCCTTGTGTGAGCTGACATGTGTGAGGCAGAGGCCGGGGGAGGCAGCCCTTCCTCCATCGTGGGCTCTGTGGAGGTTCTCAGGGCCACTAATCCGGGAGGAATGCTGCTCAGCTCCTGGGGCATCTCTCATGCTGGGGACACAGCCTGTGCTTGGCTGCTATTGGCTGCTCCTTGCTCCCACATACATAAGCCTGGGGGTGAAGACTGGAGGCCTGACCTCTGTCTTCTGCCGGCCTGGGGCCTGGAGCCCACACCAGAGATGGGGAAGCCTCTCTTGCTGCTGCTGCTGCTGCTGCTCCCGGTCCTGTCCCGGTTGAGCTTCCTGCAAGGTGAGTCCCTGGAGTATCAGGAGGCCAGTGGGGGTGACAAGGCTTAATGATTTTCGATATCCAATGGATGATGGGAAGAAGGAGAAAGCTTGCTGGGTGCTTTCTTATTGCCTGTCTCCTTCATTACACAGCTTTTATGGTTCAGTTATTCTACCTGTGTATGTTTATATATAATAGATAAATAGATTTTATGCATTGATATTTAGGTTTGTCACACTTGTTTGCACAGGACTCACTGAGAATTATGGGTCACTACAACCACAGACAGGTGCATTTCTGCTCCGCTGCTTATTTATTTAGTCAGGATCTGAACCACAGGCTATGTTCTCCCAACCCTTCCATCACCCATAAAAAATGAAATTTTTTTCATTTCAGTGTGTTCAATGTAGACTTTTTACAACAGAATTTATGGTAGCAAAAATGAAATATTTCCCTTTCTACAAAACGTATTCCTACAAATTTTATTTTTTCCCATGGAGTGGTTGAAACATGGAAAATATCATTGACATAACTGGCTTCATGTGTTTGCAAAGTTCTTCTGTGAATGGAACTAGCCTATTGCTTTCCAAAGTTCTTTATTTTGCACATACACACAAGACTTGGAATTAAAATATACAAAGTTAATTTAGAAGAACATTGCATTGATCTACGTGAAAACTCCTCCTCCTGATATGAATGCCCTGGAATGCTGACTTCAAGGAGCTTTGAGTCAGCTGGCTTTGTCTACAAGGCAATCCTGGGAAAACCACAGGCATGCGCAGCCGTCAGGGAAGGCGGTTGTTACTGAAGGATGCAGCATGCAGCTAGATGCCATGGTGGGAAAATGAAGTTCAAGCCTGCTGGGAAATTCTGGAGGACACAGAGATAACCCCAGCTAGCCCACCTCCATGGGGAGAACGCCGAGGTCTCATGCCCCCCATCCTCCGGGGTATCTTCTCTCTAGTGCTTGCCAACATGGATGCCCAGGTTCTCCCACAGCCCCTGGCAGGCACAGGTGCTGGCAGAAGCAGCCTTCGGCGTGTGCAGGGGAGGCTGCTGCCAGGGGAGGGGCTATGAGATGCACCTGCTTCGGTCTCTGGTGCAGCTGCACACTTTAAATCACCTTTGGATGTAGTTTTCCGAAATAGCTGCCAATCAAAAGTTGTCCGCCGCAAAGCTTAAGCAGCTCGGCAGTTTCAGTGGGCTTCTGTGAGATGGACACAGCCTCTGGGATGGTCATGAGGATGAAGAATTTGGACATGTTCTGCCCACCGTTAGCTTTTGAGGAAGAGGAAGTGGATGCGTGTGTTTTCATAGCGACTGCACTTCTAGCTTATTCATATTCTCCGTTTCTCAGTCTTCCACTGGCTACCTCTGACCTTCCCTTGTCTTTCCCACTTCCCCTCTCCCCTTCCTTTTACTCATGCCCCACCCCTGCAGATTCCTGGCTGCCCTAAGGAACCCCACTTTTGAGATGAAAAGAGAACACACAGGCCACCCGCAGCCTAAGGAGGAAGCCAACGGGGGTGGGGTGCCTTGAGAAGCCCAGTGGGGAGGGGATGTCTGGAGGCCTTGCTGGGCTCCCACAGTTCATGGCCTTGCTCCTCACTGAATGGTGAGCTTGGTCTTGTGTGACAGGCCAGCCCCAGGAGGGGCGGTAAGCACTTGGGGAGTGGGGTCTGGTGAGCTTCTGTGGGACTCTGTCCTCTGACAGATCCGTGCCTCCAAACGGTAGAGGAACAGCTGTCGGGGGCCGACCCCCACGTACCAGCCCAGCCCCGAGCAGGAACCTGCTTTCAGCGTGATGTCTGGATATGGCGCCAGGTCACAGGGGCGGGCGTGTGTCCTCCCACCCGCTGGCCTGGGGGCTGGGCCAGAAGAACCTCTAATGCGGCTTTATCTTCCCAGCGCTAACATGTCACCAGTGTCGTCACGTCAGTGCCAGAGGGGCCTGCGAGAGTGGGGCGGGCTTCTGCGAGACCCGGGGCAGGCAGAGGTGTTTTCTGAGGAAGGTCTATGAAGGTAGGTGGCGGAGTTTCCTGCGGTGACCTTCACCAGCGGTTAGGCACTGGGAGAGGGTGTTCCAGGCAGGGGTGGTATCAACCATTTGGAAATCACTCAGGAGCCTGGCCCTAAGGACAAAATAGGGGGGCTGCAGAACCATGGAGGGGACCCCCAGGTACCCTGGGAGTTGGAGCAGCAGAGGCGGGACTGATTTTGCTTTTCCTCAATCCAGCCCTGTGAAGCAGCATACCTGAGTAGGCCCTCATTGGGCCACTGGCCTGTGAGAAGGCAATAGGGTCTCTGTTTAGCGCCTAAGGGTGATGAGATTTAGGTTGCTAAAATGCCACTGAGTGAGAACTGACTATAGAAGTTTTGAGCGCTGGGGAGAGGAGAGGGGCGAGTGGGGAGGACGTTTCCTATTCATCCCTTTCTGCCCCATCTGATATCGGCAGATGGATTGCACCTTAATACACAGCACCCCCAAGCTTGCCCTGGAGAGCCACGAGGACCCCTACCCTGAGCTTCTCATCCGTCCTGGGAGGTAGATATTCACCCCACAGGAGAGCAGTTTCCACAAGGGACAGGCCATTTTCACCACTTCCCTGGATTCATTATGGGCTCGCTGATTCACTCAGCAAGGCTTAGGGAGCACTGGGTGCAGGATATTCTGGGCGCACACCCAGGGGACCGGCCGGGCTTCTGGGCTCTCACTACCTCCCCCTCTCTTCCAGCGAGCACCGTTTTGTACGGACAGCAGGGCTGCAGCAGCCTCTGCGCACCGACCAAGCTCATCAACCGCCACATGGCCGTGGACTACAAATGCTGCAAGGACTCAGACCTCTGCAATCGGGTCTAAAGACAGGGAGCCCCTCGTCCTGGCCTGGCCGCTGGAGCTGAGTCCGCTGCCCTTCAGCTCTCTCAGTCTCGCAGCCCACTGTGGCCGAAGGGTCCGGCCCAGGACACGCTCAGACTAAGCCTGCTTTCAGGCCCATTTCCTTCCCTCCCCCTCACTGCAGAGGCCACAAGGATTGTCTTGAAAGCGGACTGGGGTGGAGAGGAGCGGCAATGCTAGGTGCAAGCACCGCTTCTCCCTGGGCAGGGGGCATGGTGGTTGCCCCTTGAAAGGGCAGGCTCTGCGGGTGTCTGCGTGGGGGGGTGAGGGGGAGTCTGGGTGTTCTGGGGCCAGCTAACTGCAGGAGGAAGGAGACTGGGGTGAGCATGAAGTCCCGTGAAGTCACTGTAAATACTTTATACATGTGGTCATAAAAATGTCTGAAAAATCAGTGGTTTGAAACAATGAAAATGAACGTCAGCTCACTCCATGCTTCACGGCGGTGGTGTTCTGCAGGTGCTCAGGCACCTTCCAAAGTCATCCATCATCTCCCAAACCACAGAGGGGCCAGCCACACTCATCCAGGACAGGGCATCCCTCCGCTCCCCTCCCTGGCGGGGGACGCCTCTGGGGGCGGTGACCTCAGAACCCTGCCTTGCTGGGTCCTGAGATTTCGTGGCTCCCTCAGAAAAGAACCCTGGGCACAAGTTGTCGGCACAGGGGGAGCAACTCTGGGAAGAGAGGTCCTGCCAAAGTCGGGGGACAGAGCAGATACTTTCAGGACATCCCCCTCCCTCTGACAGCCTCCTCTTCTCCCACTGGTACTTACTAAACAGGGATCTCATAGGCTCCCACCATCCTGATTCCCTGACCTTGGACTTCCAGCCTCCAGAAATACCAGCCATAGATTTCTGTGTATAAGTCCATCAGATTAAGGGGTTTTGGAATACCCCCATGTGGACTAAGACAGTGGTGACACACTTCGGGGCATAAAACCTCGCCTGACCCTTGATTCTCAAATGCTTTGAGCACACCGGTGCCCTCTGTCCTGCTGAGGCCAAGGGTGGATTCAGAAAAGGGGCAAAGCCCTGGAGGGGGTGCCAGGGTGCACAGCCTGCGGGAGCCAGGACAGTGAGAGGCCCCGAGGTTAGGAATCCAGGGCAGGACAGAATTCGAAGCCACGCGTGACCTTGGGAGGGCACATGCCATGCTGTGTGCAGCCCGGTTCCGGGGCAGAGTCCCAGGTAAACTGGAGGTCTTCAGGTTGGGGGACAGGCCTGGGCAGAGGTGCTGGGACCGGTCAGGGCTCCAAGGGCCCCACCTGCAAAGACAGCAGTGGACATGGGGGCCTACTGGAGGCCGGGTGTCACAGGAGCGGGTGTCCTGGGAAGGCGCCCAGGTGGGGGCGGGGGCGAGGGCAATGGTGGAGAGGTCAGTGCCTCCAGACGTGGTGCAGAACTGGCAAGTCCTGAGCACAGAGGTAGGAGGTGAGGGGCGTGTCCAGCTGCCTGAGAGCTGGCCTGCCAGACCACATGTCCACTCTGCATGGTGGAAAGGAGGAAACACCTCTGCGGTGTCTGTGACCAGAAACACCTCTTCGGTGTTTGTGCGGCAGCTAGAGGGTGGGAACAGCAGGGGGCCTGTGCTTGGGCCACAGACGCTGACCAGCGAGTCTTTCATCAGTGTCTGACTGCAGAAGTGGGGAGCCTGCCCTGCCCTGCTCTGGCCCTCAGGTCATGGAGGTTAATGTGGGAAGCTGAGGAGGGAGGGCTTGGAGAGGAAGGTCACTTGCTGGGTCAGGATGTGGTGGGATGAAAACTGACCCTCAGAGCTGGAGGCTGAGCTGCTGACCCAGCAGGAAGCCCCCTCTGGGAAGGCCCAGGCAGCCTCACTGGCTAGGCTCCCCTGGGCCCTTTGCCTTTCCAGGTTCAGGGAGCTGCCTTTCTAGGCTTGCTCAATTATTGGCAGTTTGGGTGGGAGGTAGATTGCATTCATTTGTAAATTGCAGATGAAGATAAGTGTCTTAGGGGGCTAAATTTCCAGTCATTAGTGATCACTGTGATTAGCAATAAAGAGCCAGGTTGCTTAGGAAAGTGTGGGCAAGACCAAGTTCTTCTTTTTTATTTTTATTTTTTTATAAATATTTATTTATTTATTCATACAGAACTGGGGTACAGGCCAGAGATGCGGAGGGTGAGAGGATTCACCAGAGACAGACTGGGGAGCAGAACAGGCAGATCGACGAAGTACACTGCTGAGAGGAGCAGTGGGCGGGTCAGGAGACCACATGCCACGTCATGTGGTCACCTCCGGGGCAGGCGGGGATTGAACTCATGCAGAAGTGGCTTTAGCTTCTCAGTGCGGTGCTTTAACCCGCTGCGCCACCAGGGAGGGCCCTTTTTTATTTTTTTTTAAGATTTATTTATTTATGACATAAGAACTGGGGTACAGGACAGAGATGCAGTAGGGATGAGAAGATTCACCAGAGACAGAGCGGGGAACAGAACAGGTGGATCTACTGAAATACACTGCTGAGGGGAGCAGTGAGCGGGACAAGAGAGCTCTGCCATGCCATGTGGGTCACCTCCTTGGCCCAGGATCAAACTCGTGCTGTAATGGCTGCTGATAGCTTCATAATGCTGAGATTTTACCCCTTGCACCACCCCCAAGTGATATTCCTAGGGAACGGTATCAAATAGCCTATAACAGGATGCAAATGTTAACTGCCTTGCTCTCTAAAGATACCAGTGCAAAAATTTAAAATAAAATAAACAAAAGAAAAAAGAAAGAACCCCACAAATAAAAGATATCAGTGCAGTGCTGCATTCTGGGAGCATGGAGAGGAAGACACAGAAAATGTATAAGGTCTGTGTGTCCTTGAACTAAAACAGTAGTGTAATGTCCTAGCAGGAAGTTCTTCATCCTGACTTGGAAAATGTGAAGTACAGATGCGATCTAAATGCAGTCTAAAGTCTTTATCTTATAACTGGTTGGAACTGAAAAGCAATGAGACAAAAGTCTAAATAATAGTGACCTTTGAGGTCATATGCCTGAAATTCTGTATGTCGATTTTTAAATATATCTGGCTTATAAATCGCGTAGGAAAATTAACTTCCGTGATTTTCTAACCATACCAGCTTGACCCTGAAATGATATTCTTCAACTTGATCACCGACTTTACTTACCAGACTTGGCTCCTGATTTCACCAAGTGGCCTCTTGTGTGCTCTTTTGACAATTTTCCTTAAATCAAATTCACCTCAAAGGAGAAGAAGTTTCTAGCTCAGAAAATCTTCCAAAGAATGTGCAGCAGATTTGAAGCCAAGTATGGGGTGATGTAAGCAAGGACTTGATGTCAGAGAGTTCCAGAGCTCCTCAGCCTGGGGCCATCGTGCCCTATAGGGAGCTTTGGCAATGGGGAACTGTTCTGGCTCTGACAATGGGACAGGGAACAGTGTGCGCTGCCTGTGTCTGGGTGCCGAGGCTGGGTGCTGCTACACACATCGCAACGTGCAGCACAGCCCTCCACACCTGGTCCAGACGGTCACTAGTGGCGAGGCTGAAAAGTCACAACACTGACCTTTCCGGGGCGAACATAGGGGCATTGAGATTCTATCTACTAGGACAGCTGGTTAGGACTTCCGGCCTTTTCGGAAGCATGATGCCTCTTCTGCAGTCCTTAAGATAATTATCGTGAGTAACAGCTTTTGGCCTGTCTCCACACGCATAAATCTAGGCCTGAGGGCAGAATGCTTCCAAGAGCATAATCTGTGCTCTAATTCACTTAAGGCCATTGGACAATCTTTTATGAAAACCTGATTTGAAAAAAACAAAATCTGTAAATGTAGAATGATAATCCAGTATCTCATAGGGTTGTTGTCTAGATTATACAAGATGGCATATATTAAACATTCAGGGATTATAAATATGCTTTAAGAATACACCAGGTGTATTCATGTTCTCATTTTAAAGTTTTCATTTTGGGGGCCCTCCCTGCCAGCTCTAGGGGTTAAAGCACAGCACTATGAAGCTGTCCCAAGCCCCCACAGCATGAGTTTGGTTCCAGGCCAGGAAGGTGACCCATATGGCTCAGCAGACCTCTGCTGTCTCATCTACTGCTCCCCTCAGCAGTGTTCTTCGATTCATCTGCCTGCTTCCCACTCTGTCTCTGGTGAATCCTCTCACCACCTCCAGCCCTCCCCCCACCCCGCACCTTTGGCCCATACCCCAGTTCTGTGTGCATAAATAAATAAATCTGTAAAAAAAATACAATAAAGTTTTCATGTTGGAATTTTGCAGGAGGACTCAAAGGTAGAGGAAAACATACACAATTCCAGTAGCATCACCCTGTTTCACAATTGTAATGATGATCAACATTTTGTTAATCTTGTTTCATCTCCCCTCACCTCGCAAAAGACAGATAATTTCGCCTACAGGTACTTCAGGATTTAGCTAGAAGTATTGTGCATTCTTTTAAGTTAACATATGAAACACCTACTGCCTTCAAGACTCCATGCTGGCCTAAGGCACAATATAAACCTGGCCCTGCGCTCAAAGTGCTTACCTTTTATTGGGGAGTTAGACGACAAACCAGAAAATACTCAAATAACTTGGTTGTCTTTTGTATTTAAATTAAATTTACATATAAATAAGTAGTTTTTAATGAACTAAATGCGCACATGAAAAGAGATAGAGACCAAGTATTAACAATGACCAAGTTGTGCTTAACTAACCTCGGGAAGAAACAAGGAAGGAAGTTGGGGTTCAGTTCCAAATAAGAAATGCATGAGCCTCTCAGGCAGCACCAACATTTTCTAAATTCTACCCAAAATAGAAAAAGCAGAATGGGGCCCTCCCTGGTGGCTCAAGGAGTTAAGTTTCAGCCCTATGAAGCCCCCACAGCATCAGTTCAGTCCCTGGCCAGGGAGCTGACCCACAGGGTGCGGAAGACCTCCCTGTCTCACCTGCTGCTCCCCCGAGCAGTGTGTTTCCGTACATCTGCTCCCCACTCTGTCTCCAGTGAAGCTTCTCACCCCTGCTGCATCTCTGGCCTGTACCCCAGTTCTTACGTGCATACATTTAAAAAAAATCTCAAAAAAAAAAAGTAAAGCAGAAAGAATGTCAGACAGATGTGATTTTCTCAGATACTTTGTTTACAAGAGATAATGTAAAAATGAGGGAAGTCAGCCAGGAGGCTGCCCACATACTGGACAGGCAGCTGATAGGAGCAGGGCCCTATGGCCATGCAGGACTGTTGAAGACCAGCTCCAACTATTGAGATGTCTGGAGGCAGCACAGGCAGGACCCTAAGGTGGGAAGGCGTTGGCGAGCAGACATCAGCGAGCAGACATCAGCGAGCGATTCCTAAAAAAGGGGAGAAGGAGAAAAAGGGAAAAGGGGAGCGAGGAAGACACCGAGTCGGAGTTGGGTGCAAGTCTTCCTGCTCATCTTTTTGCAGGTCTTTATTTATACTGTGTAGCAAGATTTAGTTACAATAATGCATCAGGTAAATTAATAAGAAATCGGCATAAAAGTTTTAAAGGAAGAGGGGAACAATGCATCCTCTTCCTGCTACTTTATGGTACACTATACTATACAGCTGTGTGATGGCTTTCATGTATACGGATGTTTAACTATGACTTCAAAGGATCAGGGTCTGGGAAAGGATGAGCTGTTAGCAAAGGATTTAGGAGTCTTAGGGAAGGAATAAATTGTGTTAGCAGAGTCCTCAGTGATAGTCTAAAGAGAAGCTAATGGCTAACTTAAGGTTGGCAGAGAGTAGCTAGTGTTTGTTTTAGGAAGAGGTTAAATAAGACTAGCAGAGAGTAGTTAGTGATTGTTTTAGGAAAAGAGTAAATTAAGAAGAAGTCACATAGTTATGCATTAAGCAAAACCTGTGTTGATAGTGTTAGGAAATTGTCCATGGGTCCTTATGCCCTGAGAGTTATCTAAGAATCGCTTTTTGTCAAAAGACCAAAAAAGCTTTCCAGGAGTCTTAATGCTCTGGGGTCTTATCTCTCCAGGAGCTTGCCTTTTGTCTTCAGTCAAAGGAATTTCCTGCCCAGGAGCAGCTCAGCTTGTACTTTGCCCAGGCCAGGTAGCCAATTTAGAGCTAAGGCAATCCAGTTACAAACTGATGTTGCTACAATATTTTTTGATATTATGATTATACAAAAAAGGGAGGTCATAACATAAGTTAACAGTGGAAATTCTGATTTTTCAGAGCTTTTCCCGAGCTACCCAGAATCTGTCAGACAATAGCCGTTGCATAGCTTGTGTCACAGGACAAGATAGTGTCAGGTCCCAGGACAGCTGTTGGGCTCACCCGGGCTGGCACTGCTCAGCGGAAGATGCATTTTAGCGTCTCTCCCCCTCCACGCCCGGGTGACACCCACGGTGTTTGGCATGGTGCTGTTTACATACAAGGTACTGATGCTGTGACCCATGTCATGTACTTACCCTTTCTCTCCCTATCTGTTGA